CCCTCCGACCGAATGCTGGCCGAGCCCTTCTTTCGGCGGCCGCCAGAAAACCTGTTGTGCATGCGATCTTGACCCGATATGTGTAAGGAGCAAGACACGAACAAGGCGGCCATTGGGAATTTGACGGTTGCGCAGCTCACACGCACCTACTTCCCGGTCGCGCATTTTGCAGCCACGAGCAAACTGCGCGCCCAGTGATAGTAGGAGATAGGGAGTGCAAAGCACCGCGGCGACCAGTAGCTCGTCCGCTCTCACGAGGACGAACTATGCTTTCATACTCCACGGGAACTGGTCTCTCCGTGGACCACGGGCCGCAAACCAAGCTCTTCGCGCGGCTTGTGTAGTGCGGAGACGTGGGATCACGTCGCGGACAGGTACTCGCTCAGGGCCAACACCTTTCAGCGGACAGGACAGTCGCACGATGACTTTGACGTCAACCTACTGCTATTTGAAGCCAGGAACCGGCAGAAGTCGGGCAGTATGCCGTCCGGAATATGGTGGACGACGTCACGGTCGCGGAGCTCCCCTGGGACAACCCCATGGTGGCCACGTTCGAATGGCTTGATCCTGTTCAGCGGGTCCACGAAGGCCTTTGTGCGCGGTGAGCCCGAGGCACTTTCGTGCTATTGAATGCTCACTCGACGTGACGCGTTCGCGCACCGGATGAGCGGGCGACCCAAGGCTATGACCGAGTCCTCTTCCCCGAACGGTACGAGGCCCCTTGCTCAGAATAGTGCGATGCGATACGGAGCGCGCCACATTGCATGATGTACTGACCCGACTCCGGGCTCGAAGCCCAGGCTTGAGCTTGTGGCGAAAGCAAGTCCAGCCTGAAGCCTGTGCCCTCGGAGCCTAGCCCGATGGGAAACAATGATACGTTCTGACTGGGGATCCAGTGAGCATTTCGTCAGGTGCATGCATTCTAGGGAAATTCTTGCCGTGTTTCGAGCTGTACAAGGTCAAGGGGCAACAATAGGTGGTGTGCCTGACTCAGCCCTGAGAAAGCTAGCGTTAGACGCCCTGACGCCACGCCAGCGCCAGCATTGCAGCAAGCCGCTTTTCTCGTTTACACTCGGAGCCTCCACCTGCCCCGCCGCCGTGCACGGATAGCATGTGGTGTACATAGGCCGCCGACTGTACATGCACTTCCTCGATTTATCTGAATCAGTCGCAGAGTTTTTAAACGTCCTCCGAGACAACCTGTGGCAACTCTGCTATCGCCATATCCGCTGGACCGGTCACGCCCGTGATCATCACGCGACTTCTCTCTGTCAACATAACCTCTCCAGGCCTCCTCATCCTTGCGTCTCACCACAATGGCCGCACCAGACCTCAAGCAGCTCCTCGGAAATCGCCCAAGCTCGGAGGTCATTGTCGCGTATATCTCTCATCTTGGCTTTCTCGTACCCGACGCGTCCGCGTCACCAGAAGTCAAGTCCTACCCGGACGCTATCTACTTCAACTACTTCCCCCTTGGCCTCAGTCTGCTCTTCAAACCTGTCAACGGCTATAAGCCAAAGACGGGCATGAAGCGCGAAGATCTCAAGGATGTCGATCTCGTCCTTGATGGCATAGATATATACAACGTACCACCTCCAAAGCCGGGTGCGACCAGCAGACACAAATCAGCTTACTCGCTATATCCAGTCGAGGATTTCACGATACGTTTGGTCGCGATACCCGATAACGCTCGTCCCGCAACCATGGAGGTCAAGCGGACGACCACTGGCAAGGACTTTGTATCCGTCTTGGGCGAACCAGACAGAAAGGGTGGTGGCGCTGGTCCGTCATCCGGATCGATCGGGATTTGGTGTGAGTGGTCAAAGGATGGAGTGATGGTCGAGTTCGGAGGAGATGAAAGTCGAGGTCCACAAGCATGGGAGAAGGGGAAAGACGCGGTATGGAAGGTTATCAGTATCTTCTCATCACCATCAGGAGACGCGTAGCCATGTAGTTTCAAAGCGTAAGTCTCTCATATCCACCTGTATAAATTTGACAAATTCCGGTCGTACATGGCAGACTTGTCAGATCAAATTTCTACTGCCCATCTAAAGGGGACGCTGCAATGACAACTACGTTAAATGATATCCGACACAAAGGCTAGAGTCGTGATCACTTACTATAGTCATATACAAGGCGTGCCTTGATCTCCTCTCCATTAGGCCCAGTGAAGAACACATGACGAGTGTACTTTCTCTGCCCTTCGATTTCTTGGATACCCCATGTCTACCGGCGTGTCAATGCCCTGGAGGGGGGGTAATATTCTTTTGTCGCTACGCACCATCTCAGCAACCCAGGACCGACCGCTTTTCGGCGTGTCGCTATGCCCAGAGATCTGTATCAGACCGTGTTCTTTAACGTCCTCTGGCCAGTCCTGCTTAAGAAAATCTCGCTCGATATCTTCCAGTTTGGCGCGTCTGGTCTTGGTCACCACAGGACCATAGAGCTTGTCATCGACTTCTCTCTCTGTCCAGTCCAGGGTGCGAGTCTCGGAAGAGCTGCCTAAGCCTCCTCTCAACACCTGGTCGACCGTGATTATCTCAACACCATCATCCGTGTGGTGGTTGACCGTAAGGTAGAGAGTGGCATTTCGGATGATCGTTCGCGTCATCCAGCTTACGCCTTGCAAACGGAGGATCTCATCTGTGTCGTCGCTCTGGGATTTGTTCTGGCAGACGTGAACGTCGAGATGAGCGGGATCCTCTACAAAGCGAGAGCACGAACCACACCTGCTCGTATTTGCCACTGATATTCAGCGTGGTCATCTCTGCTGGCACTGCCATACCGTTCTTTGAATGCACAGTGAAGGGCGACTGGCCGAGTAGAATAGGAAGCTTGGCGTCAGCCGGGCTCCACGGTTGGGTTATAAGTAAGTACGAGCGTCAGAAAACACTCTCCAAGTTCACACTCATAATTATGTACAAGACTCGAGGCACCCTGACAACGCGGAGAGGACGAAAGATACATGTCGGGAGATCGTGCCCGGCAGAATGTTCATTATACTTGGGTCCTGCGAACAGCGTGAGAGACGACGGGATGCGTAGCCTACCATGCGCCTCTATTGACTTGTTTCTGGGCCTTCGTGCATACATTCTTTAATTATCGGCATGTCGTCCGGCTGACAGCCGGCTGTCTACTACAGTCGCTTCACGAGCTTGTGGACAGCGCACCCTCCTCGTCTATGCGGGTCCTATCAAGAACGTGAAAGCCGCTCTCTGAAGAGATTTACGAGGGCATGCTCTCGAACTACGGCCTGAGGTATTCCGACAATCTAGTCACGGGGCATGTCCTGGCGCACGAGGCTGGAGAGGTGGTTGAACGACCGCGCCGAGGCGCGAAGGGTTTGGATTTATTTCCTGGCCCAGAACCAAAGACGGATCTCCTAGGTAAGTGTACTTTCTGTCTCCTTCGAGCTTACTCGCTCTAACATAGGTCCCGCTATTTGTACCCCAGGCATCGGCTGTACTGCGACGTATTGGGCCGTCAACGTCGGTTGTGGTCTCAATGGATCAGACTACAAGTCGTTTGACATTTCGACATTCGAGTTCCGCTGGTCCAGTCCTGGGATTTTTCAAAACCCCGTACTATAGACAACGAGCAAGTGGATTTTGTTCATCTGATAGTCGGAGGTGGTGACGATCAACACGCCTATCGCGGTGACAGCTTAGTCTGTGCTGCTGTCGTCTTACTATGAGTGAATGCCCACGTATCTTCTTACACGTAGCTAACGCTGTCGCATAGCGGGTGTTCAGAGATTCTGCCGAACTGGTTGGGAACTTCACTCCACCGCCCAGAGTCGATGATGTATTTGCGAGCCTGAGATGTCGACTGACGACTCACGCCATCCGCATTCCGCAGGGTACCGATCTCCCGTCCGGTATCTCGTGAGCTTTTGGCTTAGCGTCCCGACGAACATCACCTCAGGCAAGATCCCCCGCCTCGGACATTCGCAGCGCGGTCTGGGGCGCTCACTGCTCTCATTATCACCTTGTCATTGTGCTCGCCACTGTCTTGAACCAAGCTCGAGTCATCCGGAAGACGGATTGTTGTACCACCACCATATTATGGCGATTGCGCTCATGCCTGGCGCCGACACTCGGTGATATATAGGGCTTCCTGCTCAGCCTGTCCTCGAATGGCGTCGCCGCCTTCGGTATCGATGTCTTCAATCTTCACTCGTGTCACGCAGCGATACGACGAGACAGACGTGGAATATCGATATCGAACGCGGAATACTTCGCGAGGGGAAGAGCACAACGAGCAGCAAATGTAATATTATACCAGGTGTACTTGCAAAAAAAAGCAGAGTGATCCTATAAAACCAAAGTGTCCCGTATGAACAAGTGGTGGCCGATCTCCAGAGCCCGGCTAAGTTAAGAGGATGACGTGAGTGCATAACACATACGATCAGAGCAGCTGGACCCGAGTCTGTACCCGACAGCCAGGAAAGAGAAAAGGTTAATAAAGACACAGGAGAGCAAATAGTTGAATATATATATGAATAATGAGATATGAATAGTAAGATGTGTGTGCGAGAGCGATAGCTCAACGTGTTCAAGAAGTAATGAGGTAAGTCTCCTGGAGGAGACGGAAGCTGCTGAAGGCGGAAGTGATGTTGCCAACGTTCACGATCGCGTTCGGGTCCGATAGATGGAAAAAGGCGGAGGCATTGCTGTACACGAAGTTGAAATCGGCGTTGGCGAAGGAATTATCAACGACAACGTATTGTGACGTGGCGAGCTCGGTCCACAGCAGGCCATGGCCGACGGCATTGATCGACCAATCTCGCATAGCAGCCGACGCGTCCGTACCAAAGAATAGTTGCTGGGTGGGGTCCGACAGGGACGACACGGCGGACGCAATATCACTAGGATCTACGGTCCCGAAGATAGCAACTTCGATGATCGGCAGAGACGAAAGCGCGCCGAATAATACGGACTGTGCGCCACTGTCAGGCGGGAGCGCGGGACTCTGGAGAACGAACTCCACGAGCTCTTTGGCGACATTGATATCCGGTATGGACGAAAGATATTGCAAGATAACATGGCCGAAGCTGCTCATCGTGCCGTACTGCAGAGGATTTGTTGACAGCGGGCCAGGCATCCCAGAGCCAGGAAAAGCGCTGACAAGTTCGCCACTGTACATGACGGCTCGCACGGACGCATCGCGAGTGAGAAGCGCAGCCTGCTTCGCCACACCCGTGCGCTGGTCCGCGAAGGGTAGCCTTTGCTGGAAGATGTCTAGGACGCCGTAGATTGGTCGGTTGGGATAGCACGAGGGATCGAATGTACTCGCAGTGGAGGCCTGAGTCAATCCGAACACTTGTGTCTCCAGTTGTTGTATCAGCTGAACCTGGGATGCATTGAGACCAGGATAGCATGACAGCGGCGGCGGGAAGGGTACAGAGGTAGAGTTGGTGAGTAGCGTTGAGACGTTGTGCCGACCTGGCGCAGCGGTAGCGTCGAAAGGAAGCATAATCGGAGAGCCCTTGACAATCGAGAGGAACCGCTGAAGATCAACCTCATCCTGATTTAGGACGTTAGTCCAGTAGATTTCCAGTGCCTTCCCTTGCTGGGTCGAGGACGCTGTTTGGGGAGATTAACGCCAAGAGGCCTCATATAGGAAGTAGTGCTTACCGAGTGCGGAGGTAGTCATCCAGTCTAAGGCAGCTTCCGCAACCGTGTTCAGTTGACCAAGTTGTTGTGCAGTCGGCTCACCGACATCCGAAAACTTTGCCAGCGGAGCGACCACAGTCTGCGAGGCGAAGTCAAATTGGAAGCCAGAGGCACTGATTGCGAACTGCAAAGTTGAGTCGGATATGGGACCATCCGACGAACCGAGGGAGTTCCAGTCAGCCTGCAGAACAAACTGCTGCAGCTCGCCTGTCGCGGAGACGTTCTGTGACAAAACGAAATTCCATAATAGTGCCAACTCTGCCCACTGCGTCCTATTTGGAAAATTGCTCGCGTCCAGAGCAGCAGTTACGTCGATTACGTTTGCCTGTTCGGCGCAGTTGGATCCCGTTGGAGCCCCTTGTACTTGCCAGAATGCAGTCGAGACAGAGGTCGAGGTAAAGTTGACGTTGAAGAGGCGGTTCACGTCGGGAATGAGATCAACCAGGACCTGTGCAAGACTGTTGCCAGTGCACTGGCCTTTAGTGCCAGTCGAACAAACACATGTTGCATCTAGTCACAAGTAGTCAGAGCGGGTCCTTCACTGAGATTCAAAGCCGCCTACTAAGTGTACATGCCGCACCGGCCATATTACCTGGGCATGTGTGCTTCGCATGTTTCTCACCAACCGTGACTCCGACAGCAACGCCCACAGTCACGCAGATGACGAGCAAAATGACCATGGCTCCTATCATCAGCTTTCGCCTTCGTGTGAGCATGAACCATTTTGATGCTGTCGGCGGACTGGGATCCTGCGCCTCAGGCGGCCAGTCCCGGGGCCGTGGCGACCTGTCTCTCGAGCGTCCTCCAGCTGAGCCTATTCCTGCTGGATCTGCACCCGAATATCTTATGTCCCTTAATTCCTCCTGCTCTGACATTGTCCGCTCCTTGGCGTTATCCAACGAAATTGCGCTGTGATACGGTCGATGTCCTCTGTCCAGCAAAGAAGACAGTGCCTGAGCGCGGTTGATGAGTTTGGGTAGTGGCAGCTCTCCCTCTGCTTTTTGTATCTCTCTAAAGGCGTGATCAGGTATTGGAGGGACAGGCGGTAACGGCTTGCCACGGAACCAAGCCATCGTCGTCTGTTTGAGTGAGCGGTCACCAGAGGAATGCGATATTCGTCCTATGAGGGAGGAAACGAAGCTCTTGGACGTCTTAGCTGAATTAGCTGTGGATGTCCTCCGTGACCTTGTTCGACTGTGTCTTGATTGGGACGCGGTGGACGGCCCGCCAGTTTGCGGCTCCTCCTCCAAGATTGGATCGCCCTTGGCGAAGCTGCTCATCAGGGGAGTAGAACTGGTCATCGATTGGACACTCGGTGTGACACATATAGCCCGCACGGCGTCTCCTGGCTGAGAGACCTGCACACTCTCCTCCGAAACCCAAGGTCCAGGAGCGCTGCGGTCGGCAATGGGCAAGAGGTTATGGACTGGGGGATTGAGGGCCTGAGGAGAGGATATATCAATCGTATTCTCAGGACTCGGTCGAACTGAGAAAGCCGTAGGTAGTGGGGGGTACTTGTAATCAGTGCTAGGTAACGGAGGTGGAAACGTCTTCGGAGGCGGGTACGTGATGGTCGAATCTACTGTCAGAGCGTTGCTTACAACAGATGGTTCGTAGTTGTTTCGCTTGAAGGACGGTGGACCAGCAGTTGAAGATGACTTATCGTTAATGGTGGGAACGGAGGACAGTAGGGAAGTAATGAGGGATGTTGAGAGGACCTCTTCACCGTACGGATCGTTCGCTATGCTAGATGACCCGTCGTGCCAATCATGAGATGAAAGATAGGAGGGTTTGGAGGTAGTAGCACTGTTACGTTGGAAAGGACTGGCGAGGGATTCGTCGAGATGTGATGGGACCTGTCTGCGATTGGCAGGGCTCGAAGACCTCTTATGTACGTTCAACGGCATGGTCGGCACGGGTCGAACATTGTCAGCCGGAGTCATCGAGCGGTCACTCCTGACGGGAGACGATGGGCCAGCGAAGGCGGCCTGGATGGGTTACGAATATTGCAACCATTTACGACCTGTACGTGTTCCGGGCTAACGGTTTACACCTGTCTACTATTTGTGATCGCACACTGGACGTTGAGCGCAACCAGCCGAGTTGCGTTCATGTCTTCGTGTTGGCACGTTCATCGCCTCTTTACTCCTTGTGTTCCTGTTCGATGCATAGTTTATGGAACGATTTTTTGATCTCATGCCATCGACGATATTATCGTTGTTTCTGGTTTTACGGGCTTGAATGCGAAGCAGGGCAAGCAATTCGTAGTGGTGAAGTGAACGCAATGGAGACAGGATGGGCGCTTGTGTTAATGATCGCTCCCGTTTCTGATCGACGTTGGGCAGGCACCAAATTTGCGCGTCTGGCAGACTCTGTGTGTGAAGGCTGAGTCTCTTCGACCTCTTCGTCGCTCTCTTCACCGCCCACCGCGACCTCCTCGTCTGTCCCTTCTTTCACGCTCCCTTCTCCAGACACTCCTTTGACGTGGCGTTCTCAGTTGCCACCAGTAGCGGCTCCAAGACACCTTGTAGCCGCACTCACTCGTGGTTAAGAGCTAGTCCCACAACCAGCCGGTCCTTGTGCCGAACGTAGACGGCAGTTGTTGCCGTCGTCTCCAGCGACCCCGCCTCGCTGAAGTACGCGCGAGCTGGCTCTCCTTTTCCGACGCGAAGGAGCTATTGTTGCGCTTGGCTGTGGTGCCTCTGATATGCCATCTTTCTGTCAAGTCCACTACCGTCAAACATCTGTTGCGGCCTACTGATATTGTGCGGCCCTTTCATCGCGTACCTTTCGTCCTTCTAACTGCGATTTTATTTGGCTCTCAGCATGTCCGACCCAGCAATGCGCGATGAGGATCCGCCGACGCCTACTAGTCTGCACAAGGCGAGACCTTCCGTGCTTACCACCGCCTCGGGTGTCGCAGAGAGTACCGTGACGTATGGTAGTCTGATGTCGAACGACAGCCTCGCACGACTCTCTCAGTTTCCACCACCGCCATCCGACATTCCGTTTACTATGGTATGCTGATTGCGAATCCTGTAGTAAGGGCCTCGCAAGTCGAAGGACGCTCTAAGAACGGATCATTATGCGATAATGCACCGATTTCGGTTCGTCTTCTTGATAGGTGGCGGCGGGTTCACTGATGAAGCAGTATATCAGAACATGGCTGGCCTTTTCAGCCAAAACTGGAACTCACGGACTGCCCGAATAGCTTCATCGAACACGGTCTTCAGGCCTTTCTGCGTCAGTGCAGAGCATTCCAGGTACTTCACGGCACCAATGTCCTTTGCCATCTGGACACCTTGTGAATAGGCGATTGGAGCCATGCGACTGCGCAGCGGAAACATGAGTAAACACGGATCATTGATGGGTGGACAACGCACCGTTCCCTCAGCTTTTCCACTGTTGGTTGGTCCTCACGTAAATCAAGCTTGGTACCCACGAGTACTATCGAGGTCGACGGTGCATGATGAGATATTTCAGGATACCACTGCATACTTCTCAACATCCTCGTACCAGCCTGACAGCTGAGAGAGCACGCACCTTTGTTCGTACGTTCTCGTAGCTGGGCGGACTGACCAACGAGAAGCATATCAAGAATACATCAGTCTGAGGGTACGAGAGCGGGCGGAGTCGGTCGTAATCTTCTTGGCCGGCAGTATCCCAAAGACCGAGAGAGATGGTCTTGCCATCGACCATGACATTGGCGGAGTAGTTGTCGAAAACTGCGTTACGCAGTCAGATGAATATCAGGCAGTCTCTGGACGTTAAGATTCTCACCAGTGGGGATATATTCGCCCTGGACAGAAGCAACAAATTTCAGGGTGAGTTCAGATCAGACGGTGCTGAGACGTACGGGGAACGCATTTGTAGTATACGAAATCAAGAGACACGTCTACATCCCGTAGTGAGCTGGTTGCGCTGTCTGGAAGCAGCGCAGTCAGCGTACCTTCCCAACAGCACCATCACCCACAACAACACCTGTGACTTGATCGTCAGAACTCCCTCTACCCATCGTTGGCGATACACGAATACGCACACTTGATAGCCTGCATTCTGTGTGATCACGGAGGTCTAGAATAGCGTGACGTTGGCTTGATATATGTTCGTGAATAGCCTACAAGTACGTCGGGTATGTGAGCGCAATGGGATCCAAGGAAATTTGGTCGTCGAGGTCGTCGTATGGGAGTGGAAGAGGAACGGGTTGCACTCGTAAGATAAGCGTGATGGCGATGGGGAATATCCGGTTCACCTGCGACAACTATATTCGAGGGAAATGGAAGTTCGTAAGACGGCGTAAACAAGATCAGAGAAGAGACAACGAGTTAGGCTTGTAGCTGTAGTGGGTTCAGATGGACTGCACTGGTGGAAAGCTTGCAGTAAACTCGAGGTGCGGGCGTTTCTCCAGTAACGTTGATCACGGCCGACTTTCTCACGCCCTTCCTGACTACAATTTGTATGTGACGTGGGTTTTTCTCACTTACGCTTCGCCGGCAGGACTTCTATCCTTACGCTTCAAGGCAGAGGGAATGGTTCCGCAAAAGGCCATGTATCCCTTGTGACGTAATATGTTCGTAACGGATGTAGCCCTGCGGTCAGGGAGACGGCACTGTTCTGCAGAATACGGAGGCCTGACATGTTTACTGCAAGAGTCTATCATCGTAAGCCCATGCTTATGTTTCTGTCGCAAGCCTATCGACCCCGGTGTATCTTCTGATCAGCAACGGCTCTTTGAAAGTGACGCCTGCAGATCGGTCAACAAGTGAGCAGCTTGAACACTCTAAAGCGCGTCGGGTTGGACGACTCGTGACGATTGGCCTATCGTGATGCAGCCCTAGCTAGAAACAATTCCACCGCCGATATCGTAGAGAGCATCGCCTCTGTATATATGGAACATACGGCCATTGCAGGGGTCGATGTGCATTTTAGCATTCCCGGACGGGTACGGCCTCCTGAGCAGTAGCTTGTACCCGAGTCCTGTGGCTATCGCGAAAATATAGCATCTCCGCGTGTTCCTGCATGGAAAACCAAGGAGATAAGTGTGTTGAGTTGAAGGGCAGTGGTGCTCTGCGAGAGTGCTATATGCGGCAGACAGATGACGCACGATCAGCGATACTCCGAGCTCGCACACTCGCCGCTTTCCCCCTGTATAAAGACTGCACGGTATCAAGTAACACCAGAAAACACTACTGGCTCAAACTTCAAAGCCATGTCTGACTCCAAGACCCGCCCCATGCCGCGCCTGTTTCTCATCCGTCATGGTCAGTACAGTCGCAGATTCCATCACGCGCACACCATAACAATACAAGTATTACAGGGGAGACGGAATGGTCGCTGAACGGGTGAGCTGTCGATGTCTGTATTTGCCTTTCAATTGCACCAACAGCTCATTTGTATTCGGCAGTCGTCATGTACGTCGCATCGCTCTGTTATGCCGATTCTGGGCTCATGACACATCCAGACTGGGCGTACCGATATACCTCTCACGAAGCGTGGGGAAGACGATGCTCTCCAGAGGGCGCAGACACTAGTCGGGTCCGGCAGTACGCTCTCAGCTACATGTCATCTGCTTTCGTGGAGATCTCACAGCGATCTTCATCAGAGGTCCTCGATCCTGCTAACCTGTGTACAGTCTACGTCTCGCCACGTATCCGCGCGCACAAGACGTTCCATCTCCTTTTTGACCATCTTGACAAGCTTCCTGATCACGTCATCACTGAGGAAGTCAGGGAGTGGGACTATGGCGAGTACGAGGGTCTCCTCCCGTCTGAAATCAAGGCCAAAAATCCCAGCTGGGTGATTTGGAAGCACGGGTGTCCCGGCGGCGAAAGCGTAGAGGAGATGTGCATGCGCGTCGACACTGTGATTCAGAAGGTCAGCTCCCTCATACAGTCTCTCCCTATATGCTAACTTGAGCGCAGGTGAGGGAGCATCACAGGAAATACCTTGAAGAAGGAACCGTGTCGCGCGACGTCGTTATCGTCGCGCACGGTCATTTCAATCGCGTGGCTATAGCGCGCTGGAACCGATTCCCGCTATCCATGGGTACGATCTTGCCACAGAAGTCATTCGCAATTACTAAGATGATACAGGCACCCATTTCAACGTCGAGCCTGCAGGTGTACGTCCTGTAGCGACGATGAAATTAGCTCCCTGCTGACCTTCCCTTCCCAGATGGCTGTCCTAAGCTACAACCACCGCAACCTCGATGAGCCCGCTTTGAACGCCCTAAACCTGTATGCCCAAGTTACTTGAACGTCAGTTACATGCTATGTTGGCCGTGTCCTGTATATATCTCTATTAGTATGGTGACGAATCGGACGATAGACACTTGTTGGGCGTCGGGAGTGCTACGTGTAAGCGCCCTAACCGAGTTCCCGCAAGCGTGTTGTTTGAGCGGTATCTTCTCCCTCTAATCCGTCTTCGTTTCGTTTTTCCCTTCCGATCCCTACTACCTCTTAATATTGCTGCACTGAGCCCTGCCGCCAGTTGTCAGCCTAATTTCTACCTCATATGGCCGAAGAAGAGTCGCAGACGCAAGTGTCTACCGCCGCGGAACACACCGATGAGCACGTTGAAGAACACGCTCCCTCCACGGACGAGAACGTTGCAAATGAAGTCCAGGCGGAAGGCGCTGAGCAGCACGATGAGTCCGATCACATAGATGCTGTGATGGAGGAGGGACACGCGAATATCGCGTCGGACGAGCCTACGGAGGGCAACGAGGCTGCAAACGACTCACAGCCTGAGCATTCCGAGACTGAGCCTGCTGCCGAGCCTACAGCAAGTCCTACACCTGCAGCACCAGAGTCCCCCAAGAAGACAGTCACTCCTGCTTCGCCTACCAAGGCTAGAACGGTGACTGCCAAGCCAACTGTGTCCACAAAGACAACTGTTGGTGCCAGCAAGACTGCACCTTCAACTCCACTTGTGAAGAAGGTGTGCATAACTGGCTTTAAGATGGGAAATAGTTCACCGATGTAATTATTCTTGCAGGTCCTGAACTCTGGCACTTTCGGCTCTGGAACCGCTAGGGCTGCACCTGCTACCGCTACCACGAAGGCTACTGCTACGTCTGGAGCACCCTCTAAGCCTCCTGCTGCCGCAATTGCCGTCCGTAAAACTTCCGGTTCCTCTGTCACGCCGTCCACAGCTGCGAAGAAGATTTCGATGCCTCCACCAGCACCCAGTACTCGTCCTGCGCCATTGGCAGCTACACCTGCTGCCCGAAGAGCCTCTTTAGCACCTGGTGCTAAGGCTTCCGGAACCTCATCGGCATCTAAGACCGCAGTTGCGGCGAAGCCTACTTCTCCGACGTCTGGCACCGCGCCCACGCGTTCTTCCGTTACCTCTCCGGATGGCATGAAATCTCCGACGTCTGTAAAGCCAAGACCCTCCGTTGCCGAAGGGGTGAAGAGGGCGACCCCGACTCCTCGTGCGAGTTTGGCTTCGACTGCAAGCCGACCACCTAGCATGGCGAGTCGACCAACTCGCACGGCTGGCTCCGCTTCTATCAGTTCCATCAAAGACGTGCAAGATAATAGCAAAGTCGTGGAAGAGCTTCAGAATAAGGTGCATCTAATCGTCTTTAAACTCCGAAGTCGTCTAACAATACCGCTAGCTTGCGGAGGCGACTTCTTCCCTAGTAGCCAAAACACGGCTCGTCATTGAACTCGAGGACAAACTTACCTCTCTGCAGACCTCTCTTGATGAGGCCGCCGCCGATGCTCATGCCAAAACATCTTCAGTAGAAGAGCTTAAGGAGGCGAAAGCTGCTATCGAAAGCGAGCTCGCCGGCGTCAAAGCGGCTTTGGAGCAGGCCCGTACTGATCGTGAAGGTGATAGCTCTCTTCTGAAGTCGGTGCAAGAAGAGGTATATATCAGGCTTATGGCCGAAGCATATTGTCCTAACTCTTATTTGTCAGCTCGCTGCTGCCAAGTCTGCAAATGCTACCCAAACGGAAATGCTCCAAGGCCTGCAGGCACAGATCGAAGCGTTAGAGGCTGAGGTGCAAGCCGCCAGAGAGAATTTGGAGGTGCTGAAGTCGTCTTCCGGACAAACCTCTGAAGCGGTCGCCACCGCAGCCGCCGTTGAACACGACGCGCTTGTCCAGGCCAAAGCTGATCTCAACGCGATTTCCGCTGAGCTTAGTGCTCTCAAAGAGGAACACGCGAAGGCCCTTGCGGAGGCGCACGAGAAGGTAGTTGCCCTCGAAGAGAAAGCCTCTCGTAGCTCTGAGCTCGAGGGCCAACTCACCCAGCTTCGCGCGGAGAATGAGGAGAAGTCCACTCGCGTGTCCGAGCTTGAAGTTGAAATTCTGGAGCTGAAGGAGGAGCAAGAGAAGACTCAGGACGAGCATACTAAGACCCTCGAGCGTATCAAGTCCCTCGAGGCGGAGCTCTCCCAGTCTGCTGCTGCTATGCAAGTGGCCATCGATGCAGCTAAGGCAAAGCAGGATGAGCTATCGTCCGCTTCTGATGCTGCCGCTCAAGCGCACGCCGAACAACTCGACAAGGCTTCAGCAGAGTACGAGAAGCTTGAATCTCATTTGAAAGCTCTTCAGGAGGAACTCGCGCAAGCCACCGCTGCCAGCGAGCAAGCCAAAACTGAGGCTGCTGCCGCCACCGAGGAACAACGTACTCGTCTGGAAGAGCTAGAGAAGACATACCAGGCTAAGGAGGCTACTCTCGCGGAGGAGATGCAGAGGCTGACTGTGGAGCTCGAGGTACGTAGTACTTGCGTATACGCAAAGAGTCATTTCTGACCAGGAGTAAATTCAGAGCCAAGAATCGAAATATAATGCTAAGGTCGAGGCCGTCCAGGCTGAGCACAATAAACTTCTCGAGGAGGCCTTCAGCCGTGCTAAGGTCTGCCCCTCTTCATGCTGCTCTGACCTTCGTTAACGCTGGCAGTAGAGCGACGCTGGAGCAGTTCATAGCCAGGAGTTACAGGCTTTGCGTGCTCAATCTCAAGAGGCTATTGAGCAGCTCCGTACTGCGCACCAGTCGACCGTAGAGAGTCTCAAGAACGAGCACGCTGCCGCTCACGGAACACAGATGACGCAGTTCGAGAAGCAAATCGGCAGCCAGAACCTAGAGCTCAACGCCACACGTGAGGACCTCGCAAAGGCGAAGTCTGCGCACGCCTCCATTACGCGAGAGCTGGAGATAACGAAAGCGCAGCTGGATGAAACTCGGCAGCTCCTACAAACCTTGGACAAATCCGACAAGGATGTCGCTATAACTCGCCTCACTCAAGATCTGGCCAACCTTCGTGAAGAACACAGTGCTCTGCAGGACATGCTTATGGCTCAGAATGATACGCTGCGCCAGGTCACGAACAATCATACGACCGAGCTCGAGGAAGCTGCGAAGCACCGTGCTGAGGAGGTCACGAAGCTGCGCGCTGCGCACCAGGACGAGATCGACACTCTCATGAAGGATAGGACCGAACTGTCCGTCCAGCTGTCTGACCTCCAGGGAGAGCTGGCTACTCTCAAGGCAACGCTGGAGGAGACCCAGACCGCTACGCGGACCAACGGGACGACGCACGAGCGGTCATCGAACGTTACCAAAGAGGACCTCCAGAAGATGCACGAGGCGCACAACCTTAAACTTTACGACCTGCAGGCAGAGCATGATCGCGCCATGCGTGCACTCAAGGAGGAGCTCGAAGCGGTCCTCAACAAGGCTGACGAGCTGAACCAAGAGGTCGCGCGGAAGGCGATGGAGATTCAGTATCTCGAGCAGGAGCAAGAGGAGAGCCAAGATCAAATCACACGGTATGTTAAGGTTTTCGGCTTCAAGAGTTTTCTTGCTGCCTGCGCTGCTCTGGCCATTATTTACGGACTATCTTAAACCTTGCACACATTCTCTTCTGTCCTGATCGCGCTCCTTTCTAGCTGCCTTTATTTTGGACCTTTAATTTATTTAGATATTGTGTTTGCGTCTTCTTTGAACCCACACCGTCGTCGCTCCTTTCGATATCGCTCATCCAATCTTCTACAGACTGAAGGCAGACAACGACCACCTGCTTGAGCAGTTCAAGGCCAAGGAATAAGCATGAAGGACGCCCTGACAAAACAATCTAGCCTCGCGGATTCCATCACTTTGCAACGTTTCAAAGTTCCACGAACACGCTCAGAAGGCGCCTTCAAGAATCATGGTCGGACGGTCAGATGCACCCAGCCTCTCTACTTTTCTTCACGGACTCCACATTTATATCTTTGTAGCACAAATTCACTGCTAATCTCAGGCGAATTTGTGTTCCTCGTTTCTCTTCTGTCTCCGCTCTCATGTTTGTCAAACTGTTGTCCGCATCGTATACCCCGCAATAATTCATGCCATGCAGTCAGCTCTACATATCGATTCGCCACTCTAGATCAGCGGTATTAAGACGAGCAGAAGTATGTCAAGCAGCCCATTAAGCGTGAGGTGTCCTAAAACCAACCAAGCAACCCGAGTAAAGAACGTAAGACCCAGTTAGTCTATGTACTGTAGCATGCCTCTAGAGTGGAGATTAGGGAGGTGTTTCCGCACGAAGGAACCGACGTCCTGCATGTGTTCGACGGCCGTATGCCACACCGCAACCTTGACCGCGACAGTACTAAGCGCCTTGAAAGTATCCTGGAGGAGCAATCGCTCCATGCGCGCCCAATTGTGTCCGAAAAGCGTTCCGAGAAGTCTGACCTCGAACGTGACGTTTTCTAGTTTCGCAGGATTGACGTCTGCGAGAAGGGCGTTTACCCAAGACACGGTGGACTCGAGCGCGATGGGGCAGCGCAGCGAGAGCGTCTCGAGGTTGAGACAGCCCGCGAGCGTGAACTCAAACGGCAGACGGACATCTGTGCCGCGCCGCGATCAGTTGCCGACGTCCGTGGAAAAAGATGTGGATGATGCCTACCTCGGTAGCTTGAGCAGTACCAGTCGAGGTCAACGTGCTTCAGCGTGGGTGCAGACGCACGCAGCAACTCCCCGAGCATTATTGCATCGCCCTCGAAGGCGAGGCAGGCGGAGATGCTCTCTAGTTCATCGCACAGGTGCTCCTGTAGGAACCATTCGACCAGCTCCTGGAGATCCAAATCTCGTCCCAAAGTTAAGTTTTTGATGCAGATGCGGGCGGCTTGCCTACCGACGGGAAGACTAGCCAGAGTGTGATGGTCACTCTCCCACGATATACCTCGGAGAGTGCAGTGCTGGAGCGACGGGAACGAGAGCAGGACGGTAGCAAAATCTCCGAACGACGGAAAACGGCAGTACTGGAGTGTGAGGTCGGTGGTGTGTGTGAAGTTTTGCGGGAGGGCGCTGTGGAAGGCGATGTTCATCTCAAGAAAAGACAGTTCGAATTGCTGGACGTTCGGCAACGTAGAGAATAATGTTGACCAGCTTTCGGAGAGCAGTTCACGGGCGGTATCCCCGGGACTGACATCGGACGCATGGGGTACAGCTTTGGATATGCTTAAGTATTGCGTGAACTGTCCGAGATAGGGCGAACTATCGAGCAGGTCCAGGAAGGTACGGAACGCCGCGGGGGATGAAAGGTATACTCGATTGTAGAGGTGATAACGTGCGGTAGGATACCAAGAGCGACAAGTGAGGCTGCAAGCCTTCAAAGCGCTGCGATCGTTGTGCAGAAAATCGACAACGTAGTCGCTCAATTCGCTTGGGAGGGTAACCATAGTTCTATTAATCGCTGTGGTAGATAAAAATGTTAGCTGGGTGAGTGATAACTACACCGAGATAAGACAACTTACAGACGGGGGGAGGAACGAGATCGTGTGGGTTGAAGCAGCGGAGGCGGATGGGTTTTATCCTCCTGCGACGCGGACTGACTCACACGAATGCCTCGATCACCGCGGTGTCTCGAAGACGATAGACGGCTGCAACACCGCAATTGCCGGCGTCCCTGGAGAAACCCTAAATTGCAGGTCAAATGCGCTCGGCAGTCTCATCTGTGTCATGATACGTCGGTCGTGACGCTCATTATCCGGATACCTGTACGTAAATTGAGTGTCTAAAGCCTGCTGGGGGCAGCGCGCCGTGATACAGTATAATATGTTCGCACTGTCGCCACAGATACGGAATATCTTTGGCTCGAATATTGGGCCCTGGTGTGACCAGAATAGTCGGAGCGGCAACCAGAGAGGGCCAAGCGAAAGCTGGAGAACATCACCATTCGGACGTGCGGAGCCCTTGCATTGCTTTCCAACACATTTTGCGGAAGCGATCCGGAGCGGATAGCTCACGGAGGGAATGCTCCGCTGCTGCCTCCGATGTTGAGCGCGGTCAGTACATGTACTGAACGCTGGTAGCGGAGATTTAGAGTTTCTTAGCAAATAGACATCAACACAGCTGAGCTGAAGCGCTGAATGCGGGGCGCCGAGGAGGCCGCTGTGGCCCGGGAAGCGGAAATTTGCGGATTGCCGAGAGTCAAGTCTTAGGGAGAGACTAGAGTAACAGTAAACGAGCCGGAAATGCTACAAGTACTGGTAGCTACCAGCTATGTCCGGTGGTGGTTGGAAGGAGGTGTACCGAGGCCCTCGTGAGCAGCGCTTTCGGTCCGCCAGGTCTACCCCAACGTTGAAGCCGCCGTCGTCGAGTAAGACGCAGCAGCGGGGTTCGGGAGAGCATCGAGCGCAAAGTCATGATCAGTACCAAAAAAAAATGATCGGATGCATGTGGCTCGAGGATGAGGCCTATGAGGATGGGACGACGCCGTCGACGGAAGCCAGCACAGCGTACGCGCAAATAGGCGCCGTCGTGACATCCCCAACGCTTCCGCTCAACTTCAACTTGCGCCCTCACTCTCACTCAAACACCGTTCTTTTCCCTACCACCACCACCACCGCGAGCCCTCGTCCCGCTCCAGCTTGTGCACAGCAATGGCCATCGAGAAAGAGCCAGGCCAGAAGGGTGTTAACTGGTCCAACATCGCCGTTGGTGCGTCATGACGCGCTCATTAATGTCTCGTGCAGTCAGTTAACCACTCCCGTAACGCAGGTGCCATCATGAACATGGTATATACTCTCCTCTTTTCTCTTTTCTCATTTGCTGACGCGTTTATCTGCTTTGCGCGTTGCATAGTTCGTAAGCACCTTCAGTATTGTTCTCTGTATCTGATGCTAACTCTGCTCATAGGAGGCGAGTCTATCGGCTGTTCCGATAGTTCATGAGTCGTCTAACAACTATCCGGCTAGGTTACGACACTAGGACAGCCCCTCGAGGTGCTCAAGACCCAGATGGCTGCCAACCGATCCCAAACAATGTTCCAGGCCGTCCAAACTGTGTGGAGTCGAGGTGGTGTTTCCGGCTTCTATCAGGGTCTCATTCCATGGGTAAGCCAGGGGTCTACCAGGCAAAATGCCCTCAATTTACTTATATACGAACTTTTAGGCGTGGATTGAGGCGTCAACAAAGGGTGCCGTGCTGCTGTTCACAGCTTCGGAAATTGAGTCCGCCGCGGTGAAGGGAGGCCTCAGCCCCGGTGTCGCTGGTCTTCTTGGCGGTATGGGTGGTGGTATTGCCCAGGCCTATGCTACCATGGGTATGTTGTAATCGCATGGGATGATGTTACTAGGATTAATGATCTCGCTAGGATTCTGCACGTGCATGAAAACGGCTGAAATCACGCGCCACAAGCAGGCCGCTGCCGGCGTTAAGCCGCCATCGACGTGGGCTGTTTTCGCCGACATTTATCGCCGCGAAGGTATTGCAGGCATTAACAAGGGCGTTAATGCTGTCGCAGTGCGTCAATGTACGAACTGGGGCTCACGGTGAGTAGAGCTGGCTGGCCACGGTGTATGCGGGGTTGACAATTAAATATCTAGTATGGGATTCGCTCGCCTGGCTGAGAGCACAATACGGAAAGTCAAGGGTAAGGGTGAGAACGAGAAACTCACAGCGCCCGAGAAGATTTTGGCTTCAAGTATTGGTGGTGCACTTGCAACGTGGAACCAGCCCATCGAAGTCGTCCGTGTTGAGGTCAGTTCTCTGCTTTCTGCATCAAACGCGTTAAATCTTATGCATCCATTCAGATGCAATCCATGTCAAAAGCCGCAAGCGCTGCCGGTCGCCCGGAGAAGCTCACAATCATGAACACGCTCTCGTACGTTTACCGTGAAAACGGTATGAAAGGATTGTACCGTGGCGTCACCCCACGTATCGGTCTCGGTATCTGGCAGACGGTGTGCATGGTCTCCTTTGCGGACTATGTCAAAGCTTGGTGCGTGGCCCGCTAGCACATGAACCATTGCGACCCAACAGTTCTGACCTTCCCGCAGGGTGAAGGGCAAGTGAACAATGACCCTATACTTATTTTCCTGATAGTCTTAGAAAAGTATGGCCACATGCATACTCTTCTAGAAGCGTCGCCTGCTGGACTCCGGATTGATTACCCGCATACCATAGTCTGTATCTTAGTGTTCTCGCTATACACCTTGTTCTGCTACTCAGATCCGATCTCGCTGATACCCGCCGTGTCTGGACTATTTATCGCATGCGCCTCGACGACCGGTCGGGTCACCGGAAACACGTTCATGCCCGGGGCGCCTGCAGCCAGGATGATCACCGAGTCTCAGACACGCTCGCTCTTATATAGCATTCCGCCCACGCAGTGCATTCCGCCTCCGGCCTCATTGGCATCTCGTTCCAGGTGTTGCTAGTGGACGATGAGTAGCACACGAATCATTCACTCTACCTCTGTTTCGACCCCGGCGCGTGCCACTGGGTCCGTCGTGTCAAAGCAGAGGGTGAATACCCTGCTGAGGTCGCTTCTGCAGTCCTATCTCAGGCAGCTTTCGGCCCACCCTTTACGTACGAAATGTATCACTGTCGGTGAGCTCCAATCCTTCTAGTTACGCTGCAACAATTCTGATCACACGCAGGCATCTTCAACTTCGTCCAAGATATTCTCGGGAATCACATTGCGGGCGTACCTCCTAGGCGTGTCCCCAAAGACGCGCCGTTGTACGAGAAGCTCGCGGCGCGCCTCAAACTCG